TCGCCTCCGCGCGAAATAATCATGCCCAGAAATCGCTCATGCATAATATCGATTGTTTCGTGCACTGGCACGTTGCACCGTCCTCTTGGAACCACATTTCGTTCACATCCATATCGTCCACTTTAGGCCAGAAGTCGGTAATCATTGACCTGAAGCGCTCTCCGTTGACGGTGATGGCCTCGCCAGCGTCGTTTTTTTACACCTCCGACCCAAAATGCACACCAAACAGTGACTTTCTGGGGATGCATTACCACTTGGTGGACCTCGTGTGGATTGGCCTTGTTCCAAATTCTACAATTATTCTTGTTTACATATCCATTCATCCAGAAATGGGCCTCGTCGCTGAAGGAGATATTTCCAACAGCTCCCAAAACCCAATCAACGAACACACGGCGCTGTCTATGATCGTTAAGCTTGAGTTCCTGGGTCAATTGGGTCTTGTATGGGTGCAGACCCAAGTCTCGACGCAAAATTCGCCTAGTTGAAGCCTGCGAGAGACCCAGTTCTTGTGCGGGTTCTCCTGCATCTTTTCGCGTAGAGTGGCGATATTCCCTGCAGACCTTGCGTTCCGTTGACGTACAGGTGGTGGTTGCGCGTTCACCGAACCAATTTTCTCGAATTTGTTCACCACATTGCGAATAGTCCTCTCGGTAGGACGATTATTGCGACCGTAAAATGGGCGTTGCGCTCGGAACGTTGCTAGCAAAGAACATTTACTTGATAAAACAATTTTATCATTTGCACGTGCTGTTGAACGCTTCAACTCTCCATGGTAATTTGGCAAGACACACTGAATAAATGACAGCTAATTTGACACTTGTAGCTTCAACAATAAGGCCGCAATGAACTGTCAAAGTAAGGAAATCCCTTTTGTAAATCCCTTATAATATTTATACCAAACGAATTATAATTTAAAAATCTGTGTTATAATACTTTTAATCTTTTCAAAAATGGCCAAATTATAATCGTTTAAAACCTGACACTATTTAACTACACTTTTTTGTTTCTTCCCCAGTATATTCCACAAAGACATAGTCCTACAAAACATCAACAAACGAACAAATACAGAGTGCTATTTTTGACGTAGACGAAAATCTAAAATTGCGACCGTCCCGAAAAGGTGTAAAATATACAAGTACATGCTATCAATTGACGTTTAAGTGGTTCATACAACCCCGTGGTGTCGTGTCGCTCCCAGGGGGACCCTTTTCCTGTCAACCACATAAAGATACACCACCCAACAAACATTGAATGTTAAATACGAGCTTATTCAAGGAAAAATTAGCTTCTTCAGCTAAAAAGTGGCTTATTCAGTTGTTGATCAACTCAAATTGTTTGTTGGGCATAGCTCACATAATTTTGACATTTTTGGACAATCTGACACTTTTGGGCATACTTACAGCGGTAAAGCTGACGAAGGTACGAAAGCAAAAAAAAAGCTTACTCTTTCACACTTGCATCGCAGTGCTGAATGCTAGAAAGAGTAGTCTGTTACAGTCATCCTCACCCAAAATATTCATCGAAATCGTGATTGTTGCTCCTGGATATCCGTGCCCTCAGATAGTGTAAGCCGTACGCCTACGAAGTCGGATGACGGACGCAACGATAGGCCTAGACGATAGCATATGAATAGAATCCAAAAAGTCATCGTTATTAAAAGAAACAGTGAATTTCAGATTGATTATTCTCGTAAATTACGTTGTTAAACTAAGATTAATTCCTTTAAATTATTGATTACATCCAAGTAAGGATGATTATGTTTAATATGTTATTCCAATACAATTTATTGCTATTTCAATACAAACTAAACATTCTATTCTACACAGCTAAAAAAAAGTAGTGTAAATTTCCGTTACTATGATGCACATAAATGGAGCGTCATACATCATACAAATTCACATTATAAATCATGTAAATTTATGAGACATGTCATGCAATATTCCATATATTGTATGCAACTTTCCACCTTTGTTTGCAACATTTCTTGCAAGCTGCTAGTTTACGTGAAAAGGAAGTTTACATGCATGAATGTTTGCATGCGTGGATGTTTACATCACCAGTAAAATTCAGATTTTTTTAGTGTGTAGATTACATGTTGTTCTCTATCAATTGAACTAAAGGTATAGATATTTAACCCTCCGTTACTCGCGCTGTTGTACTTTGTACAACACACATGAGTTTTCCATTGCCATTTTGTTGCTGAATTACCAATCGATCTGAAACCAACGAGTATTCCTCAAAAAACTTGTTTTGATCGAAACAAGCTAAACTTTGATTACAGTAAACACCTAAAAATGCGGATAATAGAGAAAATGTAAATGGAAACCGCGTAAACTGTGACCATACTACGTGGGATTTGACTTAATTGATTACAACATGGAATATATCGAGATCCTGACCAGATAGAAAGTTACTGTCTCCGACAAAGTTGTTCAGGAGATCATAGCCTTGTCGCTGGCGGACAGTAGTTCAGAATTTTCTTACTACGTAGCGCTAGTATACTTGTGAAATTCTCGTATGTGATATATCTCGAGATCCTGACCAGATAGAAAGTTACTGTCTTTCACAAAGTTTTTCAGGAGGTCAAAGCCTATTGCTTGGTGCTCAATAGTTCAGAATTTGCTCATTACGCGACGCTAGTATACTCGTAAAATTCTCATTACAATATCTCAAGTTCCCAACCAGATAAAAAGGTACTGTCTTCGGCATAGTTGTTCAGGAGGTCAAGGCTTTTTTGCAGGTGGATAGTAGTTCAGAGTTTTCTCACTTTGCGGCGCTACTATAGATGTGAAACTCTTCCATATAAAATATCTCTAGATCCTGACCAGATAGAAAGTAAATGTTTTCGGCAATGTTTTTTAGAAAGTCAAGATCTTTTTGTTGGGTGACAATAGCTCAGAATTTTCTCACTATGCGGTGCTAGTATATACGGGCTTTTCTCGCATATTCAATAGCTCGAGATCTTGATCAGCTTGAAAGTTGCTGTCTTCGGCAAAGTTGTTTAGGGGGTCAAGACTTTTTGGCTGGTAAACAGTAGTTAAGAATTTTCTCACCACGTGGCGTTAGTTTACATGTGCACTTCTCGCATATGCTATATCTCGAGATCCTGATCAGATAGAAAGTTACTGTCTACGACAAAGTTGTTCAGGAGGTCAAGGTCTTTTGGCTGGTGGACAGTAGTTCAGAATTTTCTCACTTCATGGTGCTAGTATACATGTGAAATTCTCGCATATAAAATATCTGAAGTTCTTGACCAGATAGAAAATTACTGGCGTCGGCAAAGTTGTTCAGGATATCACAAATTTTTTGCTCGTGGACAGTTGTTCAAAATTTTGTCTTTACGTAGTGCTAGTTGAATGTGAAATTCTCGCCTGTGATATATCTCGAGATCCTGACCAGATAGAAAGTTACTGTCGTGAAAAAAGTTGTTCAGGAGGTTAAAACCTAGAGTTTGTGAGAAAATTCTGAACTAATGTTCACCAGCCAAAAGACCTTGACCTCTTGAACAACTTTTTTGTAGACAGTAACTTTCTATCTGATTAGAATCTCGAGATATAGCATATGCGAGAAGTGCACATTTTGAAAATATTGAACTATTGTGCACCAATAAATAGGCTTTGATCTCATCAACAGCTTTTTCGACGACAGTAACTTTCTATCTGGTCATGATCTCGAGATATACCACATGCGATAATTTCACATATATTCTAGCGCTACGTAGTGAGAAAATTTCCGAATTACTCTCCACCAGCGAAAAGATTATGATCTCTAAAACAACTTTGTCTAAGACAGTAACTTTCTATCTGGTCAGGATCTCGAGATTTTCCATGTTGTAATCAATTAAGTCAAATCCCACGTAGTACGGATACCGTTTACGCGGTTTCCATTCACATTTTCTCTATTATCCGCATTTTTGGGGGTTAACTATGATAAAAGTTTAGCTTGTTTAGTTCATAACAAGTTTTTCAATGAATACCCGTTGGTTTCATATCGATTGGTAGCTCAGCTGCAAAATGGAAATGAAAACTCACACTGTTGTACAAAGTACAACGCGCGAGTACTCGTGTTACAAAAGTTGGCGCGAGTAACGGAGGGTTAATGCTAATTACAACGTGAAATACTTTCGAATTTATCCTTAGACCCAGCAGCGACTCTGGTCGCAGAAAGTAGTTAGGGAAGGAAGTAGCCAGGAGAGGATTGACTAAACGTAAGTGACAAAAACAATCTATAATGTTACCTAAATCTAAACTATGCTATATTTGAAATCACGGACACATCCTCTTTCTTCTCCATCGACGAAAAGTAACAACGGTTTTTATGATTTTTTTATGAGTGCGTAAAAATACATGATAATCTCACGATAACACGTGAATTTGTTCTCCCAGGATGGTTAAATTAATGAGATTTGAGAATTTTTTTTCTGAACACTGCCAACAACACTAGCAACACTTCCAGAATACTCGCAACCAACCACATTCAACAAGTGGCGGTACGCATCTTCATTCCCCACACCATCTCTCACATCACAGAAGTCTAAAAACAACGAGCGAACTGCGAGAGACCCATCCAAAACAAACGTCATCGCGAATAAGTGCATAGAGCACCATTCGCGGGACCTCGTCGCCAGTCATCGTGGTTCACGTAAAGCCGCGCGCGCTTTTTTCGATATGGGCGCGCGGTCGGAGAGAGTGAGAGTGCCGTTAGAGCAACCGAAATGACTACAACGACGACGACGACGACGACGACGGACGGGGTTCAAACTCCACTCTGGTATGAGGAAACTCTCACTCTCAAAGTCATACTGTCACCGTCGACCGACGACCGGTGAATCGGGTCCGTCCGTAGGCCGTAGCGAGGCCGCCCTACCCCAAACTCGTCGTTCGTTGATGGGATGATGCGATCGACCGTCTGGCTGTTCTGTGCCATAGTCCGGAGAGAATTTTTTCGTTCGCGAGAAAGAGTGTTGCTTTTTTATTTCGATTGATACCAGGTTGCTTAATACTGTTTTGCCTCACTTAAGTCTAGGCTATCCGACTGTCAACAACGAAAATTGCGCGCGCTCTCTCTCGGTTGAAGGCTGCGGTGGGTTCTTTCTCTTCCTGCAGTGGTTTGTTGGATAGTTTCGGCTTTTGGAGTTTTGGTTTTTGGCGTCTGATTCGGACGTTTAGAAGTGTGGAAAAGTCGTTCGTGGTGCGAAGAAGAGTGGTGGGGAAGCAGAGCAGCAGCGAGCAAAACAGAACGACCCCTCTGCCTGTGGAATCCCTCGGGTGGCAGCAGCAGTAGTAGTGGTAGTAGTAAACCTATACTCAAAGGGGGGACTACTTACAACCGAGTGTGTCAGTTAGTGAGAAAGTGCACAAACGGCTCTCGGATCGGTGGGTGCTTAGTGGGACAATGTGCGAGAGAGACACCGTGATTGGGCTGCGAAGAAGAAGTTGTTAATATATAACAAGTTGCATCATAGTCTTAAGACTTCAGTCTTAAGAAAGTGAACCGCCAATAAACATCTTTCGCAAAAAAAGGAAAACACGCCGCGACGTGAGCAGCAAGTCAGCTTTGGAATTCCGCGCGTGCAATCTCAAGCTATTTTCGAAGTTTTGCAATCCTGACGGTGGTTTGTTTTTGCGATAACCGTATGCTACGCGGACGAGTTCTCAAGGATTTTCCGGGATCTAGCAGCAGCACTGGCAGGAAGCTGAATCATTCCGTCGGAGTTTTTAGCGAGGATTACAATGGATTATTTTTACTTTTGGATTTACAACAAGAGGAAATGAAGATGAGTGTTTTTTTTTTTGAAGAAATGAAGATTCTGAAGATTGTGATTTAAACGGCCTGCTGATTTTTTTTTCTGGATAATGTTTAATGGACTAAAAAGGACTGAAAGTGAACCAGTGCAATAATTTCTGGAAGAACAAAAGTGCAATCAGGACATTTCTGGAAACTTGTGTGCAATCATAAAAGTACGGATTTTAGAAGCTGCATGGGAAGAAACAAAGAGTAGTGTTCAGAAAAATATGGAATCGCCTCAAATGTACGATACAAACCAAATTCAAGTGCGAAGTGATATCAAAAAGTTAACAATGGCAGCGAATAACAACAACACCAACAACAACAATGCTTCGACGCCAAACAATAACAACTCCCCGACGGCGGTCAACCAGAATACGTTGGCTTTGAAGCAGCAGCAACAACAGCAGCAGCAACAGCAGCAGGTTCAGCTGAATCAACACGCCCAGTCAAATGGGAATGTGTTGACCAACGGGAACATTCTGTCGAAACAGATGCTCCAGCAGATTCAGTACTCACAGAGTGAACTGGATGAGCTTACATCTCAGGAAATTTCACTGGACCTCCAACATCTGATCGATGATCAGTTCCGTGATCCGGAGGCCCTTGGTATCTTTACCGAAATGGTTACCGTCGGCAGTACCAACGGTAGCTTAACGAATCCATTGGTTCAGACAGCGGCTGCTAAAGCCCTCCAGCTACAGCAGGCCCGGTTGTCCCAGCACACAAATGGTAACAACTATCAACGATCTCTGGCTTACATGCCACAACCAGTTCATACTGGTGCAACCTACGCGAACACTTCAAGTGACGAGAACAGCAGTGTTGGATCTTCAGACACTGCTAACATCAAAGAAGAACCCGTAGATTCAAATGAGTACCGCCGTCAGTTACAGAACAGTGGCGCTCAGTTCATGGGTAATACGACGTATCAGCTTGCTGGCGGCGGTACAGGAGGTGGAGGTGTCGGCGCAGGCAACTACGTTACCAACGGTAATGGAAATACCTTCTCGAACCTTACTCCGGCTACGGTGTTGCATCACCAGGCCTTGCCACATCTTGCCGGAGCAGCCCATCTGGCGAATCTTACCAAACACAACAAGATGCTACCGCACGTAGCTCGAAAGACGTCACCAAAGTCCGTCGACAAAGGTACTGACGAATATCGGAGGAGACGCGAGAGAAACAACATCGCCGTTCGAAAGTCCCGCGAAAAGGCCAAGGTGCGATCGCGGGAGGTCGAAGAAAAAGTGAAAACTCTTATCAAGGAGAAGGACCTTCTAATTCGGAAGATCGAAGAGAAGAACAACGAAATCCAGCTCTACAAGCAACTCTACATGCATCTGATGAACCACAGCAATCCAGAGATCAACCAGATCTGTCGTAGTGCGCTAAATCTATCAAACATGGGTGATCATATGTAGGATTAGTGTGATTTTATGTAACCAACCTCACAACCCTCTCCTGTTCTTCATTACTTGAAGTGGTCTGTCAGTAGCTTATAGTAAATTAAATCGCAAAACGCGCATTATTTAGTGAAAAATGTAGATTGGAAATCTTGTAAATATAGACAAAAACCTGGCAACGGGGAAGTTATGAACGATTTACCTGGGAACTGATGGATATAGTTTCACTTAAAATTGGGACCATTTTTTGATGAACGTTGAACCAAAGACAGTATGTGTAAAAATGTGCTAATTTCCCACCTTGGATGGCGGGGATAAAACCTGTAAGTGCTGAGCTATGCGAGGCAGAGCAGCACTTTTTCGGATGGAAATGGACTACCTGTAAATAGACTTAATCTTTGTTTTTTTTTATTTACTATCAGCTGCTAAAGTGCGAGAAAGTTATATTTTCTACTTAACACAGGACAGCTTCGATAAGACTTGTTTTTTATTATTATTACCACCTCCTTTTTTTAAAGAGTAATATTTTATTCGTTTGTGAATGTTGAATAAATGTTTAGAAAACGGCTTATAAACCAAGTGTTATGTTTGACCGATGGAAAGAAATATGTTCTTCTAAAGTTTTGTTGTTTCCTTTTCTCGTTCATTCATAATTGGTGTAGATTTGTTGTATAGAACATTGTAAGATGCAGCACGAACCCAAGGTCAGTCGCAATTTGCCTCAGTTTCTCTTTTGTTTCCCATCGAATGCTCCCTGTCTGTAAAAAATGTACACAACTTGCATGTTGAAAATTACGTGATCGCTTAGAACCGAAGTTACCAATCTCAGCTCGTTAGGATAAAGTGTGCAAAAAATCTCATCCATCCAATCAGCTATGTAAACCTATCATACAAAAATCGAAAAAGACATTTGTTTATACATACCTAATTTTGTACCAAGCGAAGTACCTAGCGTGAAGAACAATCAATGCACTGTATAAAGAAAAATTCGCAAAATCACACGGAAATCGCTGCAATAATAATTTTAATAGCGGAACGAAACCAGAAACCGCGCTCCACGCTGCTCTGGTTCCGTTACCCGGTGGCAAAAGGTGTAAGTAGACTAATTTTGCATAGAGAAAGTGATCTAGAATTCTAGTTTGTAATAGACAAGAACGCATAGGAAAAAAAAAAACCGAAAGTGACAAAACTCGATCGCCCGTACTAAATATTGAAAATCAAAATCATTCATCGAAACACAAGGTGAAAAAGTACCTACCTACATTTCCTCTTTATTAATATTAATGCCGAACGGAAAAGAAATGCAAACGACAGCTTCTATTTAACCATCAGCAGTGAGAATCGCTATACAAACACAAACACACACAAACACACAAGCATACATACACAGCTAGGGAAACTTAAGAACTAGAAAGCCTGAGACGGATTTGTTACCAAGTTAGGATAATGATAAATTGTAAACACGTGGACTACTAGTAGCAAGTAAGTGTTCTCTCAAATTAACGAAAGGAACAAGAAGAAGCCGTTTTTTTTTGACGTTTTATTGATTCTTTACCAAGTATTTTTTGCTGTTGTCAAATATCATTCTGAAAACCAAACAACCGGGGATGCGAGTTTATCTAGTTCTTGAAAGATGAAGACTCTGAATTTTCTATTAATATAGCGTTAATACACAAACAAAAAATATCGAAAAGAACACACACATACAAGTACTGTATTTTTCTCAGCTTGAAAAGTCTGTTTTGAAAATAAGAAATGAAATAAAGAATGTATTAAAAAGTGAATAAAACAAAAGCATGTTTTCTTCCTTACGATCCCCTTTTCCCTTCCGCACCGATCACCTCACTATCTATCTCGTTCGCGAATGGCAACTGCACGGGAGGATGGCAAGCTCACACCCTTAGCAAACTGCAAAGTCATCGTCGCTGGCAAAGGATTGGTTGACTGGGTAAATAACAGCGCATAATATGTAGGTACGTATCTCTAGAATAATAATAAAAAAGTACCCCACAGCAGGGTCGATATATTTAGCTCAAGTTCAGAATACTTTCTCTTGCTGTTATTGCTGTTCGTTGTATGCCTATCAGTTTTGGGGGTTTATAGCTGATTTCACCACTTTACTAACATGCATGCTGATAAGATCACTCACAAGACTACATTTCTGTATCAATAAGTTCATTGTAATTTTGGCATAATCCGGTTACAGGTCATCGTACAAAATACCGCATTTATACACAATTAGAAATAACAACATTTACGCGAAATGTAATCCATCTTTGACGTAGATCATTGCCGTAATCAGCAGGCCAGTGACAAGGCCTATACCAACAGCAGCGTTTGACAGTAGGCAGCATGTCCCGGGCTCAAATCGTTTATTTTGCTGTGCTGGGCCCGCTGTCATGGTATAACATGTTGCCTACGCGCCTGCCACTGGGCTGGTAATCAGCGTTAAGTGTTCTGAAACCAAAACAAACGAAACTCCATGAAAACTGCGGATGATTGAATTGATAGTATCGTTAAGTGTCCTGAAACCAAAACAAACGAAACTCCATGAAAACTGCGGATGATTGAATTGATAGTATCGTTTATTTCAATTGATTCTTATGGGATAATTGCCTCTTGTATGTGTCGGTAACAAGACACCAAAATTTATATGACTTTTTCGTACACAGCTAAAAAAAGTAGTGTAAATTTCAGTTACTATGATGCACATAAATGGAGCGTCACATATCATATAAGTTTAGATTATAGATCGTGTAAATTTATGGGACATGTCACACAATATTCCATATATTGTATGCAACGTCCACTTTTGTTTGCAACATTTCTTGCAAGCTGCTAGTTTACGTGAAAAGGAAGTTTACATGTTTGAATGTTTGCATGCATGGATGTTTACATCGCCAGTAAAATTCAGAATTTTTTGGTGTGTAGGTTTCGTCGTCCATTACCACGCAGTCAAACTTCGTCAGCATCGTCGTGTACAGCCTCCGGGATCGCGCTTTGGCCGTCGTATTTTGTTTATCATCGCGATTTGGAGTCACTACCTTCTTGTAAGTCGATAGTCCGGCTCGTTTTTTGGCTCGATGCACGGTTGTAGACGATACACCCAGCTTATTTGCGGCATCTCGGAGAGAGAGGTCAGGGTTTCGCTTGAAACTACCGGCAACTCTCTTTGTCGTCTCAGCGGCTTCCGGTTTTCGATTTCTCCCCGATCCAGACTTCCTGGCTGTCGACAAACGTTCCCCAAACACTTTAATTACATTTGTAACGGTTGATTTGGCAACTTTTAGCGATTTTGCCAACTTTGCGTGCGAGTAGCTCGGATTTTCGCGATGCGCGAGCAAAATTTTGATACGCTGCTCTTCTTGCTTGGACGGCATTTTGACAACTGAAGAGTGAATTCCAAAATCAAAATAGGAGCAACATTCTACACACACACACCTTCAAAATGAGGGGTGTTCAGGTTTTTTAAATGCAAAATTGAAAGAAATACGTCAAGTTGATATTGACCAAATTTTGACCGTATCACCCTTTACATATTAAAAAAAATACACAAGGAATGCCTTAATGGCAGCGCTTTAAATGTATCCGGATTTTTTTTCATGTTCATTTTTTATGATTCATGACGCTCCATTTATGTGCATCATAGTAACGAAAAATTACACTACTTTTCGAGTTGTGTAGTCTCAAAATACAGGGTTAATTATGTGTCTTCAAATTGGGATTTAATCCGAAGGGATTGTAGGTCGAATATTTGCAAATATTATAAACTAACAAGATGGTTCATTCTCCTATTATCCCCAAGACACGACTGCTTCAGGAAAATTTGGTCTACAGCACAACGAAAAGTTAAGAAGAAAGTTGTGCAGAATCTAATGGGCGGTATCAAGAGAAAAGTCCGAGCGTTCATCAGAAATGAGAAGCAAACATTCAAACTCACGTGAAATCGGTCATATGTATGTTGATTTTCATTTATATAAAGTAAACTTACGAATTTGTTCGAAAAAAATATTATCCTTTGAGAAAAAGGTGTCTATTTTCATTAATGAACAGTCCTTATCCGTGTGATCACCGGTCGAAAAAGATTCTTATCGTTACTGGCTTGGTGGAGATTATATGCACATCGAATGTGTATTCATTATTTATACTATCAGTGTATTAATCAATTTTATACTAAATTAATATTCTCTACCTTCATACCGAGCTAAGCGTCGGGTGGGAGAGCTGCGATTTGGTGTAGCTTTTACTTATACTATTTTGATTTCAATATTTTGTGTGTGTAATGTATCGCGGCTACGATGGTCATTTTCAGGTTTGTTTGAAGCGAACCTTGTACAGCAGCAGCAATAATATCCGGCAGTTGGCTTGTCACTGGGGGTCGAAAAACGCCGTATTTTGGGGTAGTTAACGTTCGACTGGTTACTAAATTGGTAAGAATTGTATGTAGTAATCAATGGTTTCGTTTGAATTTAATATGTATTTTTCACATTAAAGATTCAAAACTTCCAAGGACACGATGCTGATGATTAACGATTACAAAAACACTCCTACTGTTCTCATTCTGTCCCATAAAGTGGAAACCACGACAGGAGAAACTTTCAGACTACCAAGACGGAAAATATTTGTCATTGTCGAGAAAATCAAAAACTGTCTTTTTTTTTTAAATAACATTAAAGCAGCTCTAAATCCCTCCATAAACTTGTCCTGTAAATCATAAACTTCATAAGCAATTGTTTATTCATGCCTTGATAAAATACTCTATAAATTTGTTCTATCATTATAAAAGCAACCAAAAACCAATCGGTTTTAAACTAGACCAAAGAGCATATATTGTTTTTGTTCAGACTTGTTAAAGTGTATCATAAAATCCCCAATTACAACGTTTACACATTGAACTTAAAAGTTGGATTCTGATAGTGAATCCCAAGTAACAATTCCGTAACCATTTGACATCCACGCTGATTTATGATGGTTTTATAACGGCAACGAACAATCCATTGAGTTTAAATACAGCATTTCAAAGTTAAAAATATTCCTGTTTAGTAATTCAGCTTTCTGCTGTTTTTAAAACCTTTTATAGTCTGGCAAGAAAATCAAAAACTGTCTTGTTTTAAAAATAAATTTAAAACAGTTTTCAAACCCTCCTTAAAACTGGTTTGTTATTCAACATAAACGTCATTAGCAATCGTT